GCAGTCGTTTTTCTCAGTGTCTAATGCAACTTCCATTCATTTCAGAAGGTTAGCAAACACATAAGTATGGACTGCATCAAAATATGAGGGGAAAAAGAAGAAAGGTGAAAGAATATGTTCAATTTTATGTTTGGGAAACCAACTTAGAGCTGCATTATTATTGAAACTACCTATGTTTTATTCCTGAGCTAATAGCTTTCTTAGTAGCGGCTGGTGCTAGATGAGCAGTGGGTGGTGGAGGAAGGAAAGACACCATGTCTAGACAGTCTGGACCTGCACATTCCAGTTGCTATGTATGCTTGGTATCTGTCCAGCCACTGCTTACTGTCTGGCACTCAGATTAGTTACATATGAAAGGTTTCTAATTCATCTCAGCTGATGGTAAACACAGATTTACTATAGCATGTACATATACAGTTCCTTGCTAAGCCAGACTTCTGCAAGACTATAGCCAGAGGCAGGAAACTTTTTACAGCACAAATTTAATGCACATCCTATACACCGAGTGATTTGATGCTACATTTTTGGCTGCAACTCAACTGAAATCATTGTGTTCAGGAAAGGAAGTCCAATCAGGTTTTGCATGATTGACATCTACCAAGAATGTCTGGTATCGTATTTCAACAGCATCAACAAGATTTGGCCATAAACAAACCAAATCATCTCTTATTTACCAATGCGTGGCGCTGTCTTTACCGAAGTGCATGTACTACAACTGTCTTGTTATATGTACAAACATCTCACAGAGTGCTACAGAAGGGCTGTAGCTCAACACAAGAGTACCGTATATGTTTCACAGACAAAACGTGGTGGGCTTAATTCCTGGCATTTTACATGAACATAAATATTATTCATGCAAAAACTGGTAAGGAACTGTACCTGAAACTCTGGGGAACCACCGCTGCTCAGTATAAACAATACTGAACTAAGCAGACCAGCCATCTGATACAGCATAAGGCCATTTCCCATGTTCCACTTCAGATATTCCACAAAAATTGACTTGATTTGGTACCCCTGGATGAAGGAGATGCATGGAAGGAAGAGCTGGCCCTATCATTTGGCAACGTAAGGCAACTGCCTTGGGCAAAAGCAACAGTCCTTGTTCATTCTACTCTGTTGTAGGACAGAATGGTGTTTGCCACATGGCTTGTCTGGCACCGTGTCAATTAGTTCTATTGCCTGTGCTGAAGAAATTTTCACAGAATNCCCCCCCCCCCCCCCAGCACACATGAGATGAGTGCAAATGCCAGATGCTTCTGAGCTGGCCCTACTCATAGGGAAAAGTCACATATACATATGCAGGCAAATATATGCATCTACCATATGGGGAAAGAACATGTTTCCCCCTCATTCAAAGAAGACTAGAAAGTACACATCTGTCCTTTTCTTGTCAAGCCTTACAGACATTCAGAGCTGTTTGGAAGCACAAATGTGATATTACCTAATGATTTAACAAAGTGCTTTGATAAAGACTGAGAGTGATTTCATCAAGTCAGAAATCTTTAAGTATTACCTCCACTCTACAGAAGGAAAAAGAAATCATTTGAAATCCAGACTCTGTTATCCCATACAACAAAAATACAAATACAAATGTATATGAAGGCTGCCCATTGGTCAAACACAATGGATTTATAAGATTAATGTCCACATTATACAATTTATGACTCAAAAAGGTTTTGAGAGTATGGCATATGAATATGGTATTGATGTTTTTGTCAGCTCATTGTGTGGAAATACAAGTGTACTGAAACAAAATAAGAACATCTGCTGGAATGTTAAGTGTCTTTCTAATTAAATTCAGCAGTTGAATGAATCAATTCATTAGCAACAAGCCTGGTTTATTATCTCATTAATACAGCTGGCTAATATGAGGAGATTAGCTGGAGAACTTGACAACAATTCTAAAACGAGAAGAAATGCTACAAAAACAACAACAAAACGATATAGCTCTGGACACAGGTTAGAACAATGAGATTTTTTCTGACAAAATAAAAATTCTAAAGTGATACTAAAAATAAACAAAGAATATGCATGCTACGCATCAACAAAGATTTAAACAGAGAGAAAGAGGTTCCACAGTACTCAGTTTCCTCAAAATACAATGTAATTAGAGGTAAAACTACAGGAAACACAGGGACATCAAACTGTATTAAAAATAGGGGAACACTGGCACCTGGAAAATATATTACTAAAACAGCCCAATAGTGCGGTACTTGTCTCCTGACAATACTCCTCCTGGGATACAGTACTGGCCTCTGAAGTAGTGTGGTAAAAGTCCTCAGCCACCATTTTGAATTAGGGTTGCCACCATGCATCACTTTTCCAAGAATGTTGTTGTTGTTAAGTTGTTAAGTTGTGTCCGACTCTTTGTGACCCCATGGACCAGAGTATACCAGGCCCTCCTGTCTTCCACTGCCTCCTGGATTTGGGTCAAATTCATGTTGCTAGCTTTGATGACACTGCCCAACCATCTTGTCTTCTGTTGTCTCCTTCTCCTCTTGCCTTCACTCTTTCCAAACATTAGGGTCTTTTCCAGGGAATCTTCTCTTCTCATGAGATGGACAAAGTATTGGAGCCTCAGCTTCAGGATCTATCCTTCCAGTGAGCACTCAGGGTTGATTTCCTTCAGAACGGATAGGTTTGATCTCCTTGCAGTCCAGGGGACTCTCAAGAATCTCCCCCAGCACCACAATTCAAAAGCATCAATTCTTTGGCGGTCAGCCTTCTTTATGGTCCAGCTCTCACTTCCATACATTGCTACTGGAAAAACCATAGCTTTGACTATGCAGACTTTTGTTGGCAAGGTGATGTCTCTGCTTTTTAAGATGCTGTCTAGGTTTGTCATCACTTTCCTCCCAAGAAGCAGGCGTATTTTAATTTCGTGGCTGCTATCACCATCTGCAGTGACCATGGAGCCCAAGAAAGTAAAATCTGTCACTGCCTCCATATCATCCCCTTCTATTTGCCAGGAGGTGATGGGACCAGTGGCCATGATCTTAGTTTTTTTGATGTTGAGCTTCAGACCATTTTTTGCACTCTCTTCTTTCACCCTCATTAAGAGGTTCTTTAATTCCTCCTCACTTTCTGCCATCAGAGTGGTATCATCTGCATATTGGAGGTTGTTGATATTTTTTCTGACAATCTTAATTCCAGCTTGGGATTCATCCAGTCCTGCCTTTCGCATGATGGATTCTGCATATAAGTTAAATAAGCAGGGAGACAATATACAGCCTTGTCGTACTCCTTTCCCAATTTTGAACCAATCACTTATTCTATATCCAGTTCTAACTGTTGCTTCCTGTCCCACATATAGGTTTCTCAGGAGATAGATAAGGTGGTCAGGCACTCCCATTTCTTTAAGAACCTGCCATAGTTTGTTGTGATTGAAACAGTCAAAGGCTTTTGCATAGTCAATGAAGCAGAAGTAGATATTTTTCTGGAACTCTCTGGCATTCTCCATGATCCAGCGCATGTTAGCAATTTGGTCTCCACCCTTTCAAAATCCAGCTTGTACTGCTGGGAGTTCTCGATCCACATTTTCAAGAATACAGATTCTATAAATTATGAAATATGAAATCTATAGCTTTGAAAGTAGCCCCGCACTATATAGTGTATGTAACAATTACAATACTGTGGTCATATGGGACAATTTGTTAAAAAGCAATTCATATCTATTTCTCTCTGCTTGATGTATTGAGGTCTATATGTAAAGAATATAATGTGTACTGTGTTCATTCCTTACCTTTCACTTAGCAGGCATTCTTCATTTTAGACTAAGGCAGCCTTTATACTCTACATGAGCAGGCACCAGAAACTATGTCCAATATGCAGTGGTGAGATAGATATGGTTCTCATGCCTCCCTATGCATTAGTTCTGCAGCCTAACATAGGTCTTCTAACCATGACAGGCATAACCCTTGGTTTCCCAATGGAATTGCTAGGAATCTGGCTAGCACACAAGATTTATGAATAGTGAGTTCACATTACTGAATTTATTTACAACCTTTTTTTACATGATATCACAGAATTTCTAAATATAAAAGGATTCTTCCATATCAAAGCTGACAGCAGAACTATTTAAAAAACACCCCAGTATACACTAAGTTTGACATACATTATCCTGTACCTAGTGGAACAGAGGCAATGGGTTTTCTGCCTCAGGACCAGAAAAAAAACGACTCAATAAATAGATGAGCATTTTGTGAAATCCTTTGGATCTTCCTCATATAGTAAAACACCATTTTATTCCAACTCATGGGAATCATTTGCTATTACTTTGCTCACTGACATGCTACTAATGCTATGTGTGAATGAGCCAAAGCATCCATGTGCTCTGAGACAGCACATCTCATAGATCAATCAGCGTCAGTATTCTGCTGTGATCCAATGAATGCAAATCTAAATTTCAAAGGAGTGCGTCATCCTACAGCTAAACTGGGTCAGTTTTACAAGAGCCACAGATCAATCTTCTCAAGCACCCACTGCCATCAATACAAGACTTCGTGGCACAAATACATAATTGGCAATGTTGAGGGAAAGTGGCAGGTCACCCGATCACGTCAACTCAGTCTGAACCAAGTAGCTACTGTTAAACGTTACAACTGAAAGAAATGCAACTGTGTACCGCAGCCGTATTTTATAGCACTGCTCAGTAAGGCAGCATTTGATGCTGCAGTTTCATTAGCATTAGCAA